GGGCCCTCTGCCCAGGGGGACAGCTTGAGGCTCTGTCTAAAAAAAAAAAAAAAAAAAAAAAATATTCCTATTAAGGAATTATAAAATAAGTTTAATTGATTGAATTATCCAAACATTCGTTAGAAAGTACCTACTACATATCTCCAAATTTGGTAGTACCTTATATGGTAACAATAAAGTATACATATCTATTTTGAATTAGTAAAACACTTCATTAGCAAGTATAATTATGTTTACAATCATGTTAGAAAAATAGGATAATGAATAGATAATGGTATATTTCTGATCACATCTGGGCATGGGTGAAAATGGTCTCTCATGTTCATCTGTAAATGGTAGTGTAGTACACTTATTCGTTTTAAAGGCTACTAATTAGTAAACCTAATATTTGTCAAAAAAAAACCCAATAAGAACAAACATGTAAGCATGTATTTTTCCAAGGCAACAAGCATTTCAAGTTTCTTTGAAAGGCTCAAAGAGCTCACCAGAAAATTAGTGTACTTCACTTGCTCAAAGAACTTTGCCCCGAGATTAGACTAGCCCAGTGATTTTCAGCCTGTGTTTGCTGACTGTGTAGTAATAGAGGCGAATACATTGAGTCTGAGCTGAGCTGTCTGTCACCCGAGGCTGGGTTAGGATGCCCTTTGATGTATCCTGAGAGTACTCAATACCTGTCTTACAGCGTTGCACCCTGTGTTGCAACTGCCTTCTAAATATGTTTATCCTCCCCACCCTCCGCTGGACTGGGCTTTTTTTTTTTTTTAAGCAGAATTTATTTTATTTCCAACACTTAATAGCAAACTGTCTATGCTTACAGATGTTCATTGAGTGAATGAAAACCATTTGTTTGACTTTTATATTTGATGCCTAGACTTCCTCTACAATATCTCAGATAATAGGTTTGCCAGACTCTGCTTGTTTGCTTCCAGTAATGTGAGTTTGTGGCTTCTTGTGGTAGTGCCCTGTCTCCCTTTCGACCACTCTAATTACACTATGTAATTGTCACTTATTGTTCTTCACTGATATGAAATCTAAATCTGTTACTTAATGAATTATAAACTTTGGTCTTTTGCAGTTTGGGAAGATGGGAATGAAAAAAATACTGTTTTTAGATAAAAGAGATAATAACCTCTTAAGTCTTAAGGAACATTAAAAATCACTGAATTCATTCTCCTTTGTTCACAGATGAGACTCAGGGAGATGGGAGTTTTGCCAAAGGAACAGTAGCAGTACCATTCTCTCAGATGACATGTGCTACTGGTTGGGTTGTCTGGGGCTTCTGCTTTATCTTCAAATGACTGAAGTCAACTCCTACTTCCTCTAATTTTTTCCAATATATTTTCCATGTTCTATTCTAAAACAAGTTCTCTGGTCAAATAGATTCAAGGAGATATGTAAGTTTAAAAAGGTGTCTTGACTTTAGTCCTCAGAGACCAACACTTAAATGTGCCCTGTGACTTTTCAAGGCAGGGTTATGGCATTTTAGAGTAAGAGATATTAATATCTGAGGTAATTTTCAAATTATACATTTTAGAAACTATAGCTCTATTCTAAACCTACCCAGTTTTTTCAGGTGTTCTTCCAATGAAGTAATTTGAAGACATTCCATCACTATTCTTGGCATGTTCAGGAGACTTTGTGTGTAGACATGGCAGAATGTTTATAAGGGTCAATAAAAAATTTACCTCCAACCACAAATTTCACACTATGTAGCCTTCTGGGACTCTATCATTTAATTATTCATTTGGTCAAATAAAGGTCTTTTATTAATAAAAAATTTTAAATTATTTGAAACCAGAGAGACTGACTTCCTCTTTTATTTCCTTAAAATTTAATGAATTGAAATACTCTAAATTATACATATATAAAGTTTATAATTTGTTTTGACATATATGTATATGTATAAAATTGAAACCTTCACTACAACCAAAATAACAAAATTTTTATTACCACAAAAGATTGTTGGGGCCTCTTTCTAAAGCATTTTGCCTTCTCCATCTCCTAACTGATCTGCTTTCTACAACTAAAGAATAGTGGGAATGGGGCAGTGCCTGTGGCTCAGTGAGTAGGGTGCCGGCCCCATATACCAAGGGTGGCGGGTTCAGACCCAGCCCTGGCCAAATTGCAACAACAATAAAAATAGCCGGGCATTGTGGCAGGAGCCTGTAGTCTCAACTAGTCAGGAGGCTGAGGCAAGAGACTCCCCTAAGCCCAAAAGCCCAATAGCTGGAGGTTCCTGTGAGCTGTGATGCCATAGCATTCTACCGTGGGCAATAAAGTGAGACTGTCTCTTTAAAAAAAATAGTGGGAATTTTATTATTTTCTAGAATGTTATATAAAAGGAATCATAGAGTTTATAATTTTAAGGGTGGGGTAATGTGGCTTCTTTTATTTAGACTAATAATTTTGTGATTCATCAATATTGTTGCTTCAACAGGTTATGGATTTTTATTATGGACTAATTTTCCAGATATAGATACTACCACAATTGTTTACCCATTCATCTGTTGATAGAGATCTGAGTTGTTTATAGGTGTTGACTATTAAAAAGAAAGCATCTATGAACATTCTCACACAAGTCTTTCTGTGACTATATGTGTGTGTTGCTTTGGTGTAAGTAATTGGAAATGTGAAGGCTGAGTCCTTTTGTAGGCATGCTATGCTTTTATATTTTTCAGACTTTTAGTCCTTTAGGCTAAATTTGATTAGTTATCTTGCTATCCTTTTACCCTTGGGAAGTAAAGCACTTCAAGTAAGTGGAAAGGAAAGGTGTTAAGAAAAGAAGTACCGTAGGAAGGAAGTGAAGAAGTGATTCGGATTAGGGATGTTAGGGAAGGGCATGATTTGTTAGGCTTCCAAATTTGTGTACTGGGAAAAGTGAGGAGGAGAGAGCACTCAAGTGTTAAGAAGCCAAAGACTAACTCCTTTATTTTTCCTGTGACCCTTCCAAGTGAAACTTGTTTTTGCTATACTGAGATTTCTAAGGTTATTGTTTCCAGTATCCCTACTAATTCCACCTGTATTGCTCTTACCTCGTCCCCAGCTTGCCTATCTTCAATGGTTGCTCAGAGTCCAAAATAACCCTTCTGTTTCATAGGTCATTCCTTGACAAGAAGAGAAGTGAGAGAAGGTCCATCCTTTTCCAGAAGAAATTGTTCCAAAAGCCTTTCCTTGTAGTCTGATTTAACAGAGCCCCTGAACTGGAGCATTTAAGACCTCTGTTGTAGGAATAAATAGTTATACAAATAAACAAATGTAACTTATATTTAATTTGGTAGTAATAAGATAAAAAGATAGGAAGCTGTTGAGGTTTTAGCTGCTTTAAGTATGGCATATCAGCTGTTAATTTTAAACATGCTGTTTGCTAATGTTGGATTTGTAGCAAATTATTAATTTTGACATATTTGTATATTTTCTTCTTTTCTTAAAACAAAGTTTATGCTATGTCAGAAGCACTAATTTTGGCACGTATTTTCCATATTAGGAAGAAATACATTTGCATTTTTAAAACATCAGCACTGTAATTTTTCTTTTATTGTTTTTGGGACAGGGTATTGCTTAGTCACCCAGGCTAAAATGTAGTGGCATCATCACAGCTCGCTGTAACCTCAAATCCTGGGTCCTGGGGTCAGGTGATCCTCCTGCATCAACCTCCTGAGTAGCTGGGACTAGTGGCAGGTACCATCAATGCCCGGCTAATTTTTAAAGTTCGGCATCTGTAGAAACGCAGGTCTCTCTGTGTTGCCTGGGCTAGTCTGGAACTCCTGGTTTCAAATTTCTGGCCTCAAACGATTTTCCTCTCTCACCCTGCCACAGGGCTGGTATTACAGTCATGAAGCACCAGGCCTGGCCATTTTTTTGTTGAAATCTAAGATTTTTGTTCTAGATTTTGTGGTTTTTAAGAAACTTTAAGTTTTGTTTATCTTTTCCTTAACAATAATCCAGGCAGTGAAGCCCAAAAGCAGTTTATTTGAAATTGAGACCGAAGGAACTACTAGTTCATAAAAGGAGCAGTAGAGAGTGCAGGAGAGTTAGCATTGTGGTGGGGAAACTAGAACAAGCAGTGAGGCAGGTGAACATTGACCTAGTTCCTTGCCATTCATTTCTCACATTTGGTATAGTATGTACTGCAGAAGCAAGTACATATTCAGCATCCCCAGAGGAATTTTGGAATTATAAAAGTAGACTCTTCTATTAAAAAGAGAAAAAACTCTGCTTTGTCTTCAGTACTTTGAAACAACTGAATTTAGAAAGGCTTAAAGTAGAACATACATCCAGATATGTCATTTGAAGTTGGCTTCCCACAGAACAGCACAGTACTTTGCATTTTAAAGTAATAATTTTTTGCACTTTTTTCTCAGTAAGATCTAAGTTAAAACATACTTCTATGCATTTTTTTAGTTCCTGGCGTGACGGGGGTCTGCATGGTAGTGGTGCTGTTCCTCATGATTACAGCCTCTACATATGCAATCAGGTAAGTGTCAAAGTCATTATTTCGGTGTCCAACTGTCAGCTTATTTAGACTTTCTTCAGATTGTCTGCATCTTCATATATAGAAAAGTGTTGATTAACTATTTAACCAATGCAGTGTCCTGGTTAATGGATTTTTCTGGGCAACTAAGAGTAAAGTAGAGATGTTTCTATTTATCATTTCTTGTTTGTGAAAAGCCTGGCTGTATTAGTCAAATATTTTGGGTTGGTAGGGAATTGTGTATGGAGACTTAATTTCATGACCAAGGAAATTGGAATTGCTCAGGATTGTCCTTTTAAAAGAGAGGACTGGAATTAAAATCAATGAATATACATAGAGATTTGAAGATTTAAAGAAATATAAGGCTTAAAATTATTTTACAGGTAATTTTTTTATATGAGCTTATTTTGCTCTAACATAATTTTTTAAAAGCAGCTTTGAAAATATCTTTGATAACTGCTAAAATAACTGGAAATATCTGTATTCTTACTGATTCTTCCAGTTAATGAATTTTGCATAATTTCAGATTTATATTATCAGCATCACTTTCAAATGTTCTTTCTGACGGACACATTCTGTTTTTTAGAATTCTTACAATGTTTTATGTTTCTGAACAAATTTTTTAGTTAAAGACAAAAAATTCACAGATATTCTACTAGTTGAGATGTAAAATTTAATGGAAACATACAAATGTATATATATTTATATATGCTTAGAAAATAATTTTCCCAGTAATATACTCAGATGAATCTATCTTTATATTTCTAAATACATTCTGCACACACACACACACATATGTTCACCTCAAAACCTCACAAGGGGATTAACATCATAAACTTTGTAGTGTCTGGTTCTATAGACTTAATCCTCTTGCTCTTTTTCACTCAGTCTCTGCCTCCTACCCCCACCAAAATCATCTTTTGCTTTTCCTAGTCTTTCTCTCTCATCGATACTAGTACATATATGTTTAACCAAAACACAATCATATTATAATATTATTTTAAATCTGTTTTTATGTAAATTTATGTTATGATTTTTTCACATTAATAGATGTTTCTTCATGATCCTCTTTACTGATGGCACAGCATATCTATCACTGTCTCTGTAGATATGCAGTATTTTCCCACTCCCATATTGATTACATTTTTTCAGTATTTCAGTTCTGAAACAAACACCCCCATTCCATATGTTTTTGCATGTTTTTCAATAGTCTGCTAAGGAAAAATCCCTCGATATAGAGTAGTTGGGCTGAATGGTAAGCACACATTTAAAACTTTGTATAAGAGTTAAAAATTATCTTACAGAAAGGGAAATCACTAACATTAGTACACGAGAGTGGCAGTTTCGTGGGGATAAATTTTCTTTGGCTTAGGTGAAAGAATCATTTTAAAAACTTACATTTTCAATTTTAGAAGTCCTTGAAGGGAAATTATGACATCTGATATATTTATTTAGAAAATTGAAGATATATGGATGTTCTACATCTGGAAAAAAATCCTCAGAGAGTTTTGTCTAATGAGCTATTCTCAACTAAGCTATTATATTTGCTCTTATAAAAAATTCATTGAATATCTCTCACTCTCCAGGTTTTCTTATTTGTTTAAAGGAGATTATAATCACTAATTTGCTTTTCCTAAGTATTAAGGTGTGAATAATGAAATTCTTAAATGAATTATGGAGATAGATACCTTTTCTCTTCTTTTTTCTTTACCAGTAAGAAAATAAACCATTAGAAAAATTAAACGAGTAAATAAGTTTCTAATGTTTGATAGTGGAATATGATCTACTAATTTATACATCATTCAATAGTGCTCTATCTATTCAAGTAACAAATATATCTTCTTAACAGTTGATAAGAATGCAAACATTTTTCTCACTTTAATAGATGATATTTGTTAAATATGAACTCTAATTCTGTATTGACGTAGCCATAGTAAATGAAGTAGGAATTAAATGATTTCTTTATATAATTAAGATATATAAAAGCCAGAATTAAAGTCATACTTAAGAGTAAAATACTAGATACATTCATAGGAGAATCAGGAAAAAGCCCAGGTGACATTTTTAATTCTACCATTATTTATGCTTGGAGACAAAAGCAACATTTGGAATTATTAGAAAAAAATTCAACAATACATTTTCATTTTATCTAAAAAAAGAAGATATATATATATATATATATATATATATAAAATTGTCTACCCAGGAAATCAAAGAGTATTTTGAAAAAATTTAGTATGAATACCAAATAATAGATGAAAAAGATAATTAGATATAAAATGAATATAAAAAGTAGCTCTTCTCCATGTTAGGTGTAGTCAGATTGAAAATTGAATAAAATAAAAACATACCACTCACAATTGGAATAAAAACACAAAAATATCTATGAATAAACTTGAAACTGAGTAGTATATAGAGAACAAGCCACGTAAGTTCACTGAGGAAAATTTCTAGAGATTTGAACAAAGGCTGTATACTATAAGGATTGTAAAGATGTAGTTTTTTATTAGTTATATTTTAGTGGTGTTGCAATTCCAATAAAAATCCCTGACAGGTTCTTTTCTTTTTTTTTTTTTTTAATTTAGTAGAATGTTTCTAAAGTTCATCTGAGGGAAGATGGAAGTATATTGTATCTTACAAAAGAAAAGTAGAAGGAGAGATGTGCCTCACCACACATTAAAATGGTTAAGCTTAAAAGGACTTACTTACAGAAATGACAAATACATTGAACCAGGGAACAGAGTCAACAGAAAGTCCTGAAAGGACCTTGCTATATGTAAGAACCTGCTAAGTAATGGACGCCATTAGAACTTTTGAGGAAAGTAAGGGTTAAGGTCATGAAGATGTAGATAAATTACATAGAGTTAACTGTAAAAAATGTACCATAAAAAATTCAGAAGAAATTCTAAGTGGATATTTACCAGACCTCAAATGGATAAAGAATCATATAGAAATATTTTACTGTCTGAAAAGATGAAAACTAAAATTTCTGCATGTCAATATACATTATAAAGGTTTAACAGTAAACGTGATATTGGATACATTATTACAATGACAAGGAGCCAATGCATTCTTAAAATGTAAATAGTTTACACAGATCAATTTAGAAAAACACTCTATGAAAATAGGTGATCATGGCTCAGCACCTGTGGCTCAAGTGGCTAAGGTGCCAGCCACATACAACTAAGGTGGCGGGTTCGAATCCAGCCTGGGCCCACCAAACAACAATGATGGCTGCAACCAAACAATAGCCAGGTGTGTGGCAGGCGCCTGTGGTTCCAGCTACTTGGGAGGCTGAGGCAGGAGACTCGCTTGAGCCCAGGCGTTGGAGGTTGCTGTGAGCTGTGATGCCATAGCACTCTACCTAGGGGGACAGCTTGAGGCTCTGTCTCAAAAAAAAAAAAAAATAGGTGATCATCATAAACAGAGAATTCACAAAAGAAGTTAAAGTAAATAATACACATAATAAATAATACCCTATCCCACTTATAACAAATAATGAAAACTAAAGTTTGGATGTGGGTTTGGGGAAGCAGGCAATCCTATCCTACTCTATGGTTGGGTTTATAATTAATGAACATGTTTTGAGATAGCAATGAGCAGTGTGTATCAAAAGCATTGACAATGTCTACCATTTGATCTAGCAATTGTAGTAATTTTTATTTAAAAAGAAATAGAAATGTGTAAAATTATATATGTTGCAAGGATGGTAATGATGAGTACATATATTATTTTTATTAAATATATGAATGGAGCAAATGCAAAATAATTGGCCACTGCTTCTGTAAGGGGTTCTAGCTCAATGTGGGCTATAGCTGAATCACCTAGGAAGTTTTTATAAATACCTGCTTGCCCTCCATCTCCAAGATTCTAATATATAAATATCCACCCTAGATATAAGAAATAAAATAGCTGCCAATTTTTTTACTTTTCTCAAACATTCTATACATTGTGCTTATCATTTCCCCCCTTTTTCAGAATCTTTGTCCTCCCTTAGAACATCAAGGAGGGAGGAATTATCATTCTTACACTACTCTGTCCAAGAAAAATATATACAACTTTGATGATCACTGATTTTAATTTCTTTCCTGTTGAGTTTCCCTTGAATTACTCTTAAAAAAATAGTTGGAGAACATCAGTTGTTTTAGAAATTATTTGAAAATTGAGAATGTTGATAAAAAGGATAGCAGAAGTATTTATTAACAGAATACTACCCATTCTTAGCATTATAATAATTTTAAGTACCTTATTTTCTTTTCTTATGTCTTTATTTAAAATACAAAGAACCTTCAAAATGATACCGTGTTACTTATAATTTTGTCAGTTCTTATCTATCAATGCCTTGGCATCTAAATCTTAGATGAACCCATATTTTTACTTTCTTAAATTGTGATGTGTTTGAAACAATGCCTGATCTATTTAGTGAGATGGAAATGTAAAGTAGCATTGAAATTGATTTCCTTGTTTTTTTCAGAGTTTCTAATTATGATATCTTCTGGTATACTCATAACCTCTTCTTTGTCTTCTATATGCTGCTTATGTTGCATGTTTCGGGGTAAGTTGTTTTTGTTTTGTTTTGTTTTGTTTTCTTTGCATAGGAATACTTATTTGAAACAGTTTTTTTATTACTTCTTTTTTTTTTAAATACTAGATTTAGAGAGTACAATTTGAATTCCATTACCAGTATGTGTTATATGGTGGCAAAGTCTGGGCTTTTAGTGCCCTCATCATCTGAATAGTGTACATTATACCCCATAGGTAATTTTTCATCCCTCAAGGGTAAGCTTAAAAAATTAAAACAATTAAAACTATTAGTGCCTAAAAATAGGGCAATGAAAGACAACTTTATAGGAATTTCCAGCAGAAGTGATAGATGTATTTGATGACTTGAAATTGAAGGTAGTGTCAAGACTGGAAGAAATAATTCTATTTTTAGTATCGTATATTTTAATAAAACCAGTATAAAAGTATGTTAAAACTGAAAGCTGGAATTACTTCTCCCTCAGTACTGTAATTTTTAAAGCTTCCTGTAGATAATATCCTAATACCTTCTAAAGGAGAAGTAGTAAGAAATGAAGAACTTCAAGGCAATATTTTAGTATTTTGTATTTCTGGAAACTGTTTTGCCACTGCCGAATTTGTGACAATGGCAGTATCATATTTTGGTTTAATAGGTCTAAAGGAAGTAATAGTTGCAAAGAAAGCCAAGAAATTTAAATGGCCAAAGGTAAAGGATCTATCAGACCCACCAAAAGAATTATGAAGGCAAAAAAGAAAGCGTCCTAAACTGTTGTAAAGATTATATCCAATATTCTGAAAAGTGTGTGTACCTAAATAGTATAATCAAAAGGGTTGTGCTCACACTGATTTATGAAGATAGCTGAAGGAAATAACATGTTTTTGTGTATGCATATGTCTGCATGACCACCAGCAGTAGATTGGTGGTTTGGGCTTGACATTATCACTTAAGTGACGCAATTGGGATAGGCTATTATCCTGTATGAGGTTCACAGGGTATAGTTGGATACTAGATCAGGAAACATCATTGTCAGCAGGATAGTGTCAGGTACTTAACTGGGACCTTCTGTAGTTGCTCAGTAACCATTTTCCTTCTCTTGTTCTCCCCATGGAGCAATTCAGTTTTATATGAACAGACATGGACTAGTTTACCTTGGGTGAGGATTATGCTCTCCAAGAAGCAGTAACTTGGTCCCCTCCAGGGATGCCCTCAGGAAGCTGAGGTCTGTGAGTCCCAAAAAAGATTTTTTTAATTCCATCACAGCCCTCCTGGTACTGATGGATTTTACTAGTAATAAACAATGATGCCGGGTATTACAATTGGCAATCCACATTTATCTTAACCTTAACATTCCAGGGAAACTGAAGAAGGGTTGAAACTTTCGGTTATTCCTTTCTTCAGAATGTTTTACAATATAATATAATTTATCGGTACAGAAGGCCATTATTGTCAACTAGATATTTATTTCAGGGTGCACATCCAAAATGTTGAGTTTCCCCTCCCTGAATTTGGAGACTGCGGAGTTAAAAGGGTTTTATCCTGTAAGTCTTGGGTAGCTTTGTTCGGTATCATGGTTCTGGGACATACAGTTGTAGAGCATCAGAAACATGGTCACACGTTATAACAAGGACTTCCAGCTAGCTTTTCCTGCCTCCTGGGGAAGAGGGTTAGGTCAGTGGATATGGGTTCTTCTGTTCATTTCCATTTGCGGAGATAGCACATTCTGTGGAGCCTTAGTGAACCAAGAAAGCCTTGGTGGAGAAAATCTGTTTTACATTCTGTTCTTTCAAGGACTTGGTTGCCTGTCCAAAGCTATGATTGCAAAGTATGCTATATATAAGTAGATGGTACTAATGATACTAATAGTAATTTAAAACAATTAAGTCATGTTTGCTATTTGTTCCAAGTGTTTATGCCATTAAATGCTCAGAATTTTATGAGGTTTAGAAAAATTAAGTAACTTGTCAAAATTTACTTAACCGATGGATCCTGGATTCAAACCTAGGCATGCTGATTCAGAAGGTCCCTAATTTTTTTTTTTACTATTAGGCTGTTTTTTTTTTTTTGTTGTTTTTTTTTTTGTCTTTTTAAGAGCTCTGCATTTCTAAGAATTTGGTCTTAATTTTCTTTTTGCGGGGGTGGGGACATGGTCTTGCTCTGTCACCCAGGCTAGAGTTTAGTGGCATCATCATAGTTCACTGCAACCCTTAATTTCTGGGCTCAAGCCATCCTCCTGTCTCAGCCTCACAAGTAGGTGGGACTACAATTGCATGCCACAATTTTAGTCTCACTCACTCACCAGCTCAAACTGGTCTCAAACACCTGAGCTCAAGTGATGAGGCCTTTCACCTCAGCCTCTCAGAGTGCTGGGATTGAGACAGCATGCCTGGTCAAGATTTTTTTAAAAGGTTATTATCTTGACTTTTCTGGGATTGTGATCTATCTGTCTTTATGAGGTGAGAGAAAAATGCAGTTATTTATTAGTATAATTAATTATACATTCTTTTGCCTTTAAACTTTACTAAATTAAAACCTTGAAAAATGCTGTTTCTTTGTAATTCAAAATAGATTCAATGTTTTTAAAAGTTCAGGAGTTCAAGCAGATTTCTTCAGTTTAAAGAGGATTGCATCGAGAGTGCTTCATGTTTTTGGAAGTAAAAGGAAGGCATATTTAAATTTTAATTTTACTTTATAGAACATGGGTCATATAGATAGTGGTGACTTTAATATATATAAAGAAAAAACAAAAAGATGTCTATAGGATAAATTATGTATTATCAAGCTATTATTACAAATGAATTAATAGTTCTTTACTTATTTTCAGTAGAGATGAAGAAAATAATTATTCTAATACTAAAATGTGTGTCATTTAACACATACACAAGACAATAAATGTTCTATAGTGCTCATATTTACTAAGAAGTTTAATAAAACAACATAGATTATGCTTATGGTATGGGAAAAATTACTACTGATAAATCACCTAGGGTGGTGACTTATGCCTGTAATCATAACACTTTTGGAGACTGAAGCAGGAGGATCACTGAGGTCAGAATTTAAGAACAGCTTGGGCAGCACAGTGATCAATTCTACAAAAATTTAAAAAATTTAAAAAATGATCTGGGCATGGTGGAATACACCTGTAATCCTAGCTACTCGGGAGGCTACTGAAGCAAGAAAATCTCCTAGGCCCAGAAATTCAAGGTTGCAGTAAGCTATGATCATGGCATTGCCTTTCAGCCCAGGCAACAACTCTGTTAGTAAAAATAAATAAATTAATAAATAAGTTTGAATAGTTAAAATAACCAATTAAAAGGCAAAGATTGTTGAAGTGAATAAAGATGCAAGATGCTGGCTAGGATCATGCCTATAATCCTAGCACTTTGGAAAGCTAAGGAAGGAGGAATGCTTGAAGCCAGGTGCTCAAGACCAGCCTAGATGACATAGTGAGACTGTATCTCTACAAAAATAATTTTTAAAAAATTAGCTGGACATGGTAGTGGACACCTGTTGTCCGAGCTACTTGGAAGCTGAGGTGGGAGGATGTCTTCAGGCCAGGAATTAGAGGCTAAGGGAGTTACGAGTGCTTTACTTCACTCCAGCCTGGGTGAGAGGCCAATAGCTTATTGGTAAGAACAAATTTTAAAATATTTTCTAACTTTCTCAAAATGAAAAATGTTTTTTTAATTGATAAATGATCTGTATATAATTATATCTATTCAAGTGATCTTTTTTGCAAACATTGGAAATTAGATATATCTTTACTTTTAAGATTCCTAGTAATTTTGCCCTCCAGTTTTTTATTATACAAGTAAAATGTAGCTTCTAGATCTAAGAGTCTTGGATTTATACTGAAATTGCAGTTAAACAGTCTTCTTAGGTTTGAAAATCACTATCTGGTGAGTGTCTACCTCTCTGTCCATCATGTGCTAAATTCTGCAGAACAAAATATTATACGCTTTGTGGTCTTCCAGTATCAGTGATTGACTTGGACCTTTACAAACTCAACTGAAAAAGCTAGAGATAATTATAAGACTACCTATTTTTTAAAATGTAAACATTTTACTTCTAAGAATTCTAGCAATTCATAGAATAATAAGTCCATGTGGGCTAGAAATGTTAGGAAATATACTGCAAAGATGAGGTGATCAGGAATCGTTGGCTGGTTTTTATACCTATATAGACTTTTGCAGTGAAAGAACTTACTTCATATAATTTTCTAAGGTCACTTTTTCATAACACTTTAATTTTTCAAAGAAGCTTCAAAGATATTTTTACCAAACCTCTTTCTTCTTTTAATCTCCCCTACAATGTATCTATTAAGTAAATATCTCATTCTGAAATCGTCCATTCTGTTTTTGGGAAGCTGTAATTCTCACAAAATTCTTTCTTTTGTGAACCAGAATTCATTTTACTGTAACTCTATTCAGTGATTTTAAAATCTATGACTCTTGAAGCTGTAGAAATTGAGTTCCTTCCCTTTTCTAAGTTCCATTTATTGTTCCTTGAATGATATTTCAAATCTCATTATTTTGAACCTTCTCCTTTGACTGTATTAACAGTTAATATTAATTGAATGCCTATCTTTTATCTTACTAATGTTTAATATCATTAAATCTTCCCAATAACCCTGTTAAGTATTTGTCACTCTTATTATTATTATTGTTATTATTTTTTATTTTTTATTTTTTTTGGAGACAGAGCCTCAAGCTGTCCCCCTGGCTAGAGTGCCATGGCATTACAGCTCACAGCAACCTCCAACTCCTGGACTCAAGCGAGTCTCCTGCCTCCGCCTCCCAAGTAGCTGGGACCACAGGCGCCCGCCACAACGCCCGGCTATTTTTTGGTTGCAGCCATCGTTGCTTCGCGGGTCCGGGCTGGATTCAAACCTGCCACCTTAGGTGTACGTGGCTGGCGCCTTAGCTGGTTGAGCTATAGGTGCCGAGCCCTTATTGTTATTATTATTCCTTACGTCCAGCTGAGAGAATAGAGGCGGTGAGAAGTGAGGTAACTTGTCAGGGCTGGTAAATAGAAGA